CCCTGGGCAGTCTGGTCTAGCATTAGGTGGGATGGTTGGTGGCCCTGCATGTGGCAGGGGGGTTGGAGATTCATGATCCTTGAGGTCCCTTCCAACCCTGGCAATTCTGTGATTCTGTGATTAAAAAGTTTTAATTTGTAATTGCAGTTTCAGGTGTCCTTCAAGCAGGAGTACACAACCAAAAACACATCACATCCTTAGATACCCTATCCTCCAATACCAAGAATACCTCTCCTGTTTCCCTGTTGATTGAGTACTCCAGGTTCACAATCTGTCCAATGCTTGCTATGGTATTTACAGCCTGATTCCACCAACTTTTGATCTCTCTCTCATGATCTGTTACCTCTTGTTTATCGTGTCTGTCTAATCCATTTCCCTAATCTTGACACTTGAGCCTCTCACTATCTGCTTATCTGTTTATCCAAACGTACCCTAGCTAGTATGTGAGGCTGGGAAAAAATAAAAACAATTGTAACTCTCACATACTTGAACTGTGCAAGCACTTTGTTTCTAATGCTTTATCATTAGACTTGTGTTGATTTCAAAATCCTCACTTGCAAGAATTATTGCTTGACTATACCTTGTTAGGAGTAAGGAAAAAGCTTTCCAGAGTGGGAAAAAAAAAAACCAACACAATACCACAACATCTGAAACACTCTCCTCTCCCTTCAAGTTTAGATGTAATTTCAAAATATATCTGGATGCTACTGAACTTGGACCCTACAAGTAATCTATAGTGTTATTGTGTTTTTTCCATTTACAGTAGAAAAACTATATTGATGAGGTAATTCACTTGAATAAAGATAGATTCAGGCATGTAGATTCATTGGGTAATATTGATTTTGGCATTACTCTGTAAGGATAAAAATAAAATATGTTAAATTGTCAATAGTTTAAGGGCTGGTTCAGCCCAGTTCTGTGACTAGTGGGGTGGAGGGATTTGCAAATCCATGCCTCTGGAAAGGGGAAACAGGGGATCCCAAATAATTAAAAACAGTGGCAACAATCTGAGGAGAAACAAACTAATTTACTAAATATGGTATCGGAGTAATTTACTAAGTATGGTATCTCTTCAGACCCCCTGTACACTTGACTCCAGAATCCCAGGGGTCGGCCTCAGGTCTCTCCTGAGGCTCTTTGCCACAAACTCTGTGTCACCTTTCTCTCCAGCAGCAGTGTAGACGATGTTCTTTACATCCTGTCCTGTCCGTACTGGCCCCAGGGCCATGGCATGGGCTATCTCCTGTTTGATTTCCTTGAAAGCCTGCTGCTGCTCAAGATCCCACACAAAATTATACTTCTTCCATGTCACCTGATAAACAAGGCTTACAATGAGTCTATAGTTTGGAACACGCATTTTGCTAAAGCCCACTACGCTGTCATGGAGTTATCTAGATGAATCTGTGCCCGTGACAGGGGGCAGCAGGCCCGTAGGCCCCCTGGCCCCAAAATGGGAAGGGAAAAGGGAAAGGGTAGGGAGATGGGAGCTGGGCTCAAAACAGAACAGCAGCAACGATCTAAGGAGGAAAATGTAATTTTACTAAATATGATATCGGAATGCAAGACAACACAATATAATACAATATAATATAAGTTGAGGGTAATAAATCAAATAAAATAAGGGGGAGAGAGTCTGAAACCAAAAAGCCTACTTTGATCTGAAGGCACACGGCTGGGAAGCACGCCCACACACTGCCAGGCAGTGAGTGAGAAAGAGCCAGAGAGCAAGATCCCATGACTTCCTCCAATGGCTTATCTTCCTCTCTGAACATGAAGTCCGTGGGATATGTAGTTGTCTCCAGAGAGGTGTCAGTCCACATAATTGGAGTATTAACTCTTTAATTACCCATGCTTTGCATGATGTTATGATGTGGAATACCGATAACAAAATTATAAAACCATGACATTCCACCCCTTATTCTACATCACTACATCATGCTTAATATATACATATATATACAAACAAACAATAATTAAAATGCAGGGGTCGGCCTTGGGCCTTTCCTGAGGCTCTTTGCCACAAACTCCAAGTGGGACCTTTCTCCCTGGCAGCAGTGTAGAGGATGTTCTTTACGTCCTGTCCTGTGCGTACTGGCCCTAGGGCCACGGCTCGGGCCCCACTAAAAACAGTGGCAACGATCTGAGGAGGAACAAACTAATTTACTAAATATGGTATCGGAATGCAAGATAACACACTATAATACAATATAATTAGAATTGAAGCTAATAAATCAAATATAATGAGAGAATGTCCAAAAGGTGGATAGGCCTCACCATAAAGCTGAGGTGAGATGCGCAGTCCGGTTGAGCAGCAGGGAGGAGAGCCTGACAAAGAAGAGCCCATCAGGTGTCCTTGCCAGGGGTTATATCTCCTCTCTGACCACAGAGCCCCCTGGGGTATGTAGTTGTTCTTCCCTTCCAGACAGGTGCCTGGAACTGTAGTATTAACAGTTAAACTCCCAGTGCACTACATGATGCTATGATGTGGAATACTGATAACCAAAAATCATAAAACCATGACACATACTTTGTCTCATAAACTGCAAATCGAAAACATGAAATCTGTGTGTTCACATTTTGATGATGCCCTTACTTTACTTTTCAAAAATGTTTTTTTTTTAAAGATATGTACATATACTTTTAATTTTTTTTTCCTCATTTACCTATGAGCTGGCTAATGATTTGATGACAATTAGTGGTTGCAGTCCAGTCCTAAAGTCTTTTGGGTTTCTAGTCACACTTTCTGTAATATCATCTTTTAATTTCTAGCTAATAGTTCTTATAAATGTGCAAAGGAAAGTTCTATTTACTCGGTCTTAAGTGCTGCTTAGCATCAGCTAAAACACTGCTGTGTTATCAGCACTATTTTCATACAAATCCAAAACACAACAGTACACCAACTACTAAGAAGAAAATTAATTATATCCCAACTAAATCAGAACTCAAACTTTACTTTTTTGAAATTATTTGACATTACACAGTGTTTTAGGGTATGTTTGGATCCGAGATACAGAATGTCTCAGGAGCAGACACAAGCAAACTGCGCACTCAGAGCAGCACAGAGGGTTATGAGTTTTATTCAACATACATACAATCATACACACAGGCATCCACTTTAGACTATCCCAGTAAGCAGCAAGCAGAAGCTCCCTAAGCAAGCATGCTATTACTTACTGACTCCTGAGAGATGGACAAAACACCGAGCAGGAGAGGAAAAAGGAACATGCCAGCAGTGGATTTGATAGGTAGTGCCAGCAGGGTGTCCCCTGCTTCAAAGTGCACTTTTCCTCTCTCCCCCACCACAGCCTCTCCTGCTTTTATTCACCCCAGAGTCTATAGGGTTTTTTCCACTTGCACACTGTATCCATGGCCAATGCATGACATAGAGCCCAAGTGGAACACCTGCTTGCAAAATAAGTTATTGCAAAACAAGGTAAACTACCAAGGTCAGCTCTCTCTGCAAAACAATTTCCCTTAAAACTGTCAGAATACTTTGTTCCATCCCAGGATCATTCTTCATACAGAGGCCTTTAGGTCCTCTCTCAATCCAATTATTGGAGAAGATGGCTTAACATATATATATCCAGAGGAAGATTAAGGCAACAAAAGAGGCCAAATGCTGTCCAATGATTTATTACAAATTCTAAGCTACTAAGGAATGTGGGGAAGATGGGGAAGTTAGCAAAAGTAAAGAGAGAAATCCTAGCGAATGGTTTACAAAGCAGGGATAGTCACCACCAGGGATCCAGTGATGTCTCGTTGGTCCATAGGGAGGCAGCAAGTTAGTCAGTGAGGTTTTGTCGATCCTCACAGCTGCAGTTCGGCAGAGGGAGTACCTGTTCTTCTTTGGAACTCTTCGGGTTTTTATCTTCTCAATAGCGTCCTTTTGGTCACCCGAGGCAGCAGCTGGTTGTCAGGGGCACTTCTGTCAGGGGCGATGATAGTTGACAGGGGTACTTCTGTTTTGTTAGTCAGGGGCAACAGTAGTTGCAACAGCATGTCCATAGTACATGCTTTTCCCGTTGGGAAATCAGCAGTTGATCATGCGATTTTCGTATGGTGGGCTGCTAGGTATGAGCACTGACTGCATGGTAATCCTCTCCTCCAAGATAATCCCCATAAATCAGCTTAAGTGCCCAAAAAGAAGCAGCAGCCGAAAAGGTTTCTCCTGATTACCCAGCCGCATATGTTTCTCTTACCACCATGCTCATGGTAACCATTAACCCCAAAAGTTTGTTGAGCAGGTTATGTCTCAGATGGGTGCCGCTGAACAAGCTTTGAGCCAAAAAATTGTTCCAGCTTCTTACAGGTCCCCAACACACAAAGGACTTTGATTTAGCAAAATGAAACAGCAATTTACTTCAATAACAGTACAAGTACAAATTATGCTTTGCTAAATATAGCAGTTGCAGTCATAATACAAATGTGATTCTTATTGTTGGTCTCCATCATGGCACTGTCTCCAATTGCTGGGAGGGAATACATGGGTTTAAACTGACTGAAGTCTGTTAGTGTCTTCAAAGTTCTTTCTGTTCAGCATACAGTTTTTATGCTGTTTGCTTTATACTGAGTTTTTATATTTGGTTTGGCTGAGCCACAAATAAACAAAAACATTCTGGTTTGGCTAACTCGGGAAGACATTTATTTGCCTATATTTATTTATCTTAATTAACCCGGGGACAGTTACATGGCCAATTGATTCCCTCAACTATTGCAGTCATTTATCTAGAACAAAGACCCATCCCTTTTGTGTTAAGCTCTACTTTTTATAGCAATTGTGATCAGTCACTCCCTACTTTGCTTAGGCAAGGACTATGTACTCATGAAGCTGTCCCCTCAGAGTCTTCTTCCATTCTAGGAGTTCATTGATCAATTCCAACATGAAGTGTTTAAATGTTTTACATTTTGACTTCAAAAGGAGAATTTTCCTCTAAGATACCTTTTTGGCATTGTACATAAACAGATTGTGTTTTTCAGTTATTCCATCTTTTATATTGTAGGTCATGCAAGAGTCTCTGCCAGCATGATGAAGAAAAGAACTTCCCACAAGTAAGTTGCGAATATTTTTACTTAAGTATAGTTCTCAATAACTGAAATTACAATTTTACAAATCACTTATCTGAATTGTTCCGGTCACTTTGCTCTTGAAAACTATGAAAACTATGTGGAGTACTATTCGGCTAGTTTATGTGTGTAGAGTCAGACTTTAATTCTTTTGGGAGTGCAGTAGGAAAGAATGCACCATTGATGGAGTTCTAAATATCCTTTTGAATGTTACTCTGAGAGAAATTATCCTGTGAATACAATTTTGTAATTTACTCTAGAATTCAGAGACAAGATTGCAAGCTGGAAGTTAAGCACATGTACTCTAGGATTCATTACAGCTTTATTTTTTTAAAAGGATTTTTCACTTTTTTTTTTTTATAAAGAACAAGCTGAAGCACTTCTTATATAAGGCTGTTGTTTGAATGTTAAGGACGCTTGCTCATCTTAGACATTCATGGCACATATTATTTTCGCTACTACGTTTTGAAATAGTAGCAGCTAAACATTGATGAGTAGATATGAGAAGATTGAGGCAATAGCTTGGACATTTTTGAACTTCATGTCTAACAGCTAAATGCTGCATGTCTAGTGGGAAAACCCTAAAAAATAAGCTGGGGAAAGATGAAGCATTAAGATGCTACTAGTTATATTTTAAGTTATATTCCTATAGTGGTGGTAGACAACATGCATCAATCCAAAACAATTTGACTGGCAGGAATATCTTCTATGATTAACATATAGGAATTAGTATTAACTGCTTTCCAGACATAACACCTGATGTAAAATTAATTCCTTGCACCAACTCTTTATTATTCATTCTTTTCTATCTCCTTACAAGGCAAACATAAACATGTATTTGTTTAGAGACAGGTAGACTTGGTTAAAACTTAATTTCTCTTGTTCTTTTTCAACCGCTCAGAGAAAGGAGTGTATGATGGGAAGACTATCAGAGGTGGGTTGTTTTTTGTACTTGAGGGTGGCTAGATTTGTCTTTATTGTTCTGATTATATACACTTATTCAAATAGCTAAATAGGTTGTATATTTGTTAGCATAAAGGCTTTTATGGGGCATGTTAAGCTGTGATCCTAAGTCACGTGATTTTGAGACATTTAAGCACTCAACTGAGTTTTATGTTAATTTAGCCTAGTCTAATTGTTTTAGAATTGTTCGGTTAAGGTTTTATTTTGTAGCAAACCAAGATGACATACTGTGTGCTGTTCACTGACTTCTCTGAGAATGACAGAGACTACTATAGTTGTTTATATTTGGTATTCAATGCTTACATTTTTGAAATGAACAAGTAACAGTAAGTAGTGCTGTTGACATATATATAGTAAATGAGTGGGATATGAATGAATATATAAAAATGTATGCCGATGCTACTCTGAGTTGTTATAACCAATCATGAATTAGTAATGCATACATTGTCATTGATTTAGTTATGATGACTTACATATTCCTCATTTAAAGGAAAAAGAGGAACAAGATGCTTGAAAACCATAGGGGAGATTCCAAACCAGGTTCAGAAAGTTCACAGGGGAGGGAGAAGCTAACTGGATGGAATAGAGGAACTGAAGAAGTGATAAAATGAACTGTGTGTATTAATTTTCAGAACTCTTCTTAACTAAAATGTTAGTTAACCATTGACCCTTTTGGAAGGTGTTCCCACGGTTATAGGTGAGCTTCAATAGGGCTGTTCTTTTGAGTGCTCTGTCAGTGTCAATGGATAGTGATGAATGTGAAACTGTCCTGGATTCAGCTGGGACAGAATTGATTTTCTTCATAGAGTATGGTATGATGCTATGTTTTGGCTTTAGGAGAAAAACAACGATGATGACACACTGATGTTTTAATTATTGCCAAGGACACTGCAACTTTTAAGCTTTTCATATTGTCCTGCCAGTGAATGAGCTAGGATTGCACAAGAAGCTGAGAGGTCAGAGAACCAGGACAGCTGACCTGAAGTGGCCAAAGGGATATTCCATACCATATGACATTATGAGAAAAACTATAAAACTGACAGGAGTTGGCTGAGGGTCAGCTGCTGCTCGAGGACTGGCTAGGCATGGGTCAATGGTTAGTGAGCAATTGCATTGTGTGCTTGTTTTGTAAGTATGTATATATATATATTATAATAATAATTACTCTCTTTCTATCTTAGTAAATAGTTTTAATCTCAGTTTTCCTTTTTTTTTTTTTCTGATTCTCCATCCCACTGGGAGGGTGGGAGTGAGCGAAAGACTATGTAGTACTTAGCTGCCTGCCAGGTTAAACCACAACAATCCTTGTGCTGTCCAATGTGGGGCTCAAAGGACTGAGATAGTGACGAGTCTGACCAGAGCATGTTAAAACCAAATTGTTAGAAGTGATATAATAACTTAATAGCCACTGGTCACAATGCTAACCTTTTTGTTCACAATGTGGTTTATTTGCTCTCAAAGTTGTTTTTCTTAACTCCTTCTGGGTTGTTTATCATCTCTGGAGGTTTGCCTAAGCTTATTTACGGTTTTGCCAGTTTATATATAGCATGCACTCATGTTATACCAACCACAAATTTAATTTGGTATTTGTACTCAGTAACATCATTCTCACAGTTCATAAACCTTATGGTAGAAGCTCTTAACAAGTACAGTCTTTACTCCAGGCAATTAAAAATAGTTTTTGAACATTTTAAATATACCTGGGATGTTCAAACTAGCATTTGCTATTGCTATGCCTTCTGCATGTGGTTCCAGTTTTATTTATGTTTAAGAAACTATTCAAAAATACCACCTAGAGATATACCCTGAGACAGGATAGTTGTGGGTGGCAAAGTATGTGGGAAGATATTGGCAGGTATTTATCACAATTGTCACCTCTGATGGGTTTGGAACTCACCCCTGAACAAGTGCAGAATGTTTTGAAAAGGTATGGTCTGATCCTGGTGATGCCAGAGTTACACCTTGTTGCACTGTACTGGAATCTAGCCTGCACCTATCAAACACTATTCAAGTTTATTCAGCACCCTCAAAAGCAAGAAAATGCCTCCCTCTGGATCTGACTCAAACAAACCCTGCAACAGGCCTTCTGGCTGAACCAGAGAACCAACCCATGCCAGTATCCATTGCCTCTGTCCACAAGCAGAAACAATGGATATGAATGCCCACTCATTTATTAAGGAATGAAGAAGAGGATGAGGAAGGCTACTTCATAGCAGGGCCATCACAAGAACAGGAGGAAAAGGCAGAGATTATAAATTTTAAATTAACCACTCAATGTCTATCCCTAGGTGAGGTATGAAATGTGCTGAAAGATTTCAGCCACTGTCCAGATGAGCACATTGTCACCTGGCTGTTCTGATGCTGCAATAATGGGGCCTGTAAACTGGATTTAGTGGTCGTGGAAGACAGACAACTGGGATCCTCCCTAGGGAATGGGACACTGACAAAGCAATTGCAAAAAATGGAAAATCTCTCTCTACCTGGATGTGACTCCTGTTAGCCATGAAAGAAAGGTATCCCAATAAGGAAGATATTACATGTCAGCAGGACAAGTGGATCCAGTATACAAGGAAGTTAGCTGTGATGGAGGTGGTATATAACGTTGACCTGAACAATGATAAATTATCCCCAAATTCATATATCAAGTGCACGCAATCCATATAGTGGAAGTTTGTACAGAGTACACCATCATTGCATGCCAACTTTTTGGCAGTAATGATCTGGAAAGATGGAGAAGAACAAACAGTGAATGAATTGGCTGACCAACACCAACAATACAAAGGAAGTCTCTCTTCCTCCCTACAGTCCTGGATTTCAACTCAGGAGAAAATGTCCTGTGAGTTCCAGCCTATTGTCCAAAGACAATAGGCCTTACTCCTCACTAGTATGAACCAGCATCTCAGCTACTAGAAATAAGTGTTCTTTTGTTAAAGAGAAGAAGACATGGTGGGTACACACCACATGACACCCTGTGGTTTTACCTACATTACCACAGGGAGGATATGAGGAAATGGGATGGAAAACCCACCTCAACCCTAGAGGAACGAATACATGGTATGAACCCTCACAAAAAAGGGTTCTTCCAAGAAAATGACCACTCCAGATTCCAGTATGCAGTTCTCTAAACTGAATAGATATTTTGATCTTATTTCTGAATTTAATAACAAACATTTTGGTTAGCATTCATGAAAAGTGAGTAATGAATATGGTAACCAGGACTAGAAAGGCCCTGCCTCCATCCAGGTGAAGAGAGAATCAGTTATATTGGACTGTGTGTATTCAATAACCTGGCACATCAGGTCAACATCAGTAGACACTAGTGCACAGTGTATCCTAATGCCATCAAGTTAGAAAGGGGCAGAACCCATCTATATTTCTGGAGTGACGAGAGGATCCCAAAAGCTAACTGTATTGGAGACCAAAGTGAGCCTAACTGGGAATGAGTGGCAAAAGTAATCCATTGTAACTGGCCCAGAGGCTCTGTGCATCCTTGGAAATGCTAGAAGTTAAATACGATCGGGAGTCAAAGGCAGCCCAGTGGTATGCCACAATTTCACTTGGACTGATATCTAATCCACCTGGAATTGTCTGCCCCATGGTTGGAAACACAGCCCTACCATTTGTCATGGGCAAATACATTGATGACATCCCTTACTCAAAAATCTGCCTCACACAGTGAAGAAAATAATCCAGATCCTTCTGAAAGTTGGTTTTGCCATAAAACTAAGTAAGGTCAAGGGATCTGCACAGGAGATCCAGTTCTCAGGAATAAAATGGCAAAATGGATGTCATAAGATCCTTATGGGTATGATCAATAAAATAACTGCTACGTCTCCACCAACTAACAGAGGAAACACAAGCTTCCTTAGATGTTAAGTGTTTCTGGAGAACGTATATTCTGGATTAAAGTCTGATTGTAAACCCTCTCTATCAAGTGACTGAGCAGATGGGGCAAAAGTGCTCTGAGGAGCAAGCTGGCTGGATTGATTACCAGAGCTTTAAATTCACTGGGGGAAGGAGGT